TACTGCTGAAATGTATAATGAGGTGAAAAAATCTTCATGGTTCTTCACTACAACATATATATTGTATGTTTGAGAAAATGTCAAATGTGTAAGAAATGAACCCATTACATTTGAAAGCTGGATGATTTAAAGACATGAAATGACTTAGGACACCAAGAAAGTATAAACGAATGTGACCCCAACAACCGGAAAGAATTAGTGTACTTTAAAAGACAGTTTATAAACTTGTTGATGATCTCAAGTATAGCTAAAGCCATTCTAGTTTATTGGGGCTGGGGATGTAGTTAGTGGTAGAGGGCTTAGTACATTCAGGTCCTGGGTTTGATTCCAGCACTGCCCATACACACACACACACACACACACACACACACATACATACACACATATATATACATATATATAGCTACTTTTTAAAAAGATTTACTAAAATTTTCATTTATTCTATTCATATTTCCCATTACACACACACACACACACATATATACATATATATATAGCTACTTTTAAAAAAGATTTACTAAAATTTTCATTTATTCTATTCATATTTCCCATTAAATCAGATTTCTCCTCTCTCGAAGAATCTGTGTTTTTTAACAGGTAAATTGGCATCAGATGCTTGACACAAACCCTGCATGGCCAATAAGAAAAATTTAAAAACAGGAAGGTATTAGAGTTGATAAATTAAACTAGAAAATTATATATAGTATTAATAAGGTACTTTAGAGATTGCTTACATGTTATCTAGTAATATAATGTCAATAAGGTAATATTTGTATTGTCTCTAATATTATATGTTTACACATATACATATTTAGAAACACGTATATCTATATTGGTATCTGCTTTATTAATTCCACATATACACTAATCTTCTATACTACGGGATATTTTGCTTCCAGCTCAGAAAACAGTATCTAATATGGACTCACCTGAATCAACGCATGATTGTCTTTAGAAAACACTGAATCGCCTGATAGCAAAAGAGGCTCGCTTTTCTCACAGCTCTCCTGGCTGATGAGGGTGTCCGCGTAGTTGGGCTGCGGGAAGATCAAGTGGCTCTTCCGCGAGTCTGCGGTCAGCGAGACCTCATGCGAATAGGTCTGCAGGAAAGCGCGCACCCCGTCCACGCCCACAAATTGCGAGGCGGGTAAACCAGCCAATCCGTTTCTCGCAGTCTGGAGCAGGCGCATGGAGTGCCAGCGCCGCAGCTTTAGCGCCAGCAGCACGATGACAAAGGCTAGGAAGACGCAAGAGACTGAGGCCACCGCTACCACCAGGTACAGCGTGAGGCCTGAGGTTTCAGAGTTGGCCGGGGACTCTAGACTGCTCAGATCCGCTAGAACTTCAGGGATGCTGTCGGCCACGGCCACGGTGATAGTGACCGTGGCCGAGAGAGGGGGCTGGCCGTGGTCCTGCACAGACACCACCAGGCTCTGCTTAAGTGCATCTCTGTCCAGCAGGGCCCTTGCGGTGCTCACCTCGCCCGTGTGCAGCCCCACGGAGAAGAGCCCAGGCTCGCTGGCTTTGAGCAGGCGGTAGGACAGCCAGGCGTTCTGACCCGAATCTCTGTCCACTGCCACCACTTTAGTCACCAGGTATCCGGGCTCTGCAGAGCGAGGTGCTAGCTCCACTCCGGTGGAACCGTCCAAGGGAATGGCTGGATACAGGATTTCGGGGGCATTGTCGTTCTGGTCCTGCACGAACAAGTTCAACGACACGTTGCTGCTGAGCGGCGGGTCCCCACTGTCACGTGCCAGCACTTGCAGCTGTAGGTGTTGGAACTGCTCATAGTCAAAGGATTGCAATGCATACAAGACACCAGTGTCCGAATTGATGGAGACATAAGAGGCCATAGGAGACCCCTGGAGGGTGTCCTCAACCAGGGAATAAGTGACCTGTGAGTTCTCGTCGCAGTCAGGGTCGTGCGCGGTCACTGAGATGATTGAGGCGCCTCTGGGGTTGTTCTCTGGGATGTAGGCGGAATAGGAGGTCTGAGGGAAGGTGGGTGGGTTATCATTGGTGTCTGCTACCACCAGAGAGATATGCGTTTCAGTTGACAGGGGTGGATTTCCAGCGTCGGTTGTGGTCACCGTGATGTTATAATTAGGAACCTGTTCCCGGTCTAAGATTGTATCGGTGACTAAACTATAGTAATTTCCGTAAGATTTTTCTAATTTAAAGGGCTCGTTCCCTGGGATGGAACACATTACCTGTCCATTTTCCCCAGAGTCTTGATCATTGACATGTAAAAGAGCAATTAATGTTCCTCTGGGGGAGTTTTCCGGAACGGAGCTGGTGAGAGAGGTGACCACTACTTCGGGGGCGTTGTCATTTACGTCCAGCACTGTGATCAGGACTTTGGCTTGTGCGGAATATCCTGCGTTATCCATGGCTTGCACTTCCATCTCGTAGAAAGCTGATTCCTCGTGGTTCAACTCGCCTATTGTCGATATTGTCCCTAAATTACTATCCAGCCTGAAAACTTGGGCCGCCTTGTGGTCCACATACCGGAAGGAGTACATCACTTCCGCATTGGCCCCTTCGTCAGGGTCGGTGGCGTTTACCAGGAGCAGTTGAGTGCCCACAGCCACATTCTCCGGAACACTCACGCGGTACTCGGACCGAGCAAACACTGGTGCATTGTCATTCACGTCAACAACCACTACGCGGATGCGCGCGGTGCCGGTGCGGACCGGGTCGCCCCCGTCCGAAGCCGTGAGGACCAGCTGATGAGCCGCATTTTTCTCGCGGTCCAGGGCGCGCTCCAGCACCAGCTCCGGGTATTTGTTACCGTCTGCTCCGTTTTTCACCTCCAGGGAGAAGTGAGTATTTGCGCTGAGCTCGTAGGTCTGGAGAGAGTTCTTCCCGATATCTGGATCCCAAGCGTGGGGAAGAGGGAACCGCATCCCAGTGGCTGCGTTTTCACTCATTTTTATTTCTAATTCACTTTCACTGAAGTAAGGGGAGTTATCATTAATATCCCTCACTTCTACTTCTACCCCATATATTTTCACTTTATCCTCCATTAGAATCTCTAGATTTAATAGACACTTGGCGGACCCCATGCAGAGCTCCTCTCGGTCTATCCGGCCCGCCGTGACTAAGCTGCCGCTGCGCAGGTTCAGGGTGAAAAGCTGCGTCCTACCTCTGGAGACGAGGCGGACTCCGCGCTCCGCCAGCTCGCGGGGCTCCAGCCCCAGGTCCTTGGAGATGTTCCCCACCCTAGAGCCTTTCTCCAACTCCTCGGGAACTGAATAGCGTATCTGGGTGCATCGGGCTTCCCACAAGATCCCCAAGAGGACGCCCAGCAGGGCCAGCCCTTCGCGGTCCCGGTACAGTCGCACAGGAATCATTGTCACTTTCTTCCAGGATTATTTCCAGTTCTTCCCTGGACCACTGAAGTCAGTATCAGCTCTTCAGCCCCTGGAGCCGGACGGTCTGGAGCGGGGGCCGAGCGTCTCCGCTGTTTCCTCACAGAGATGTCTTGTTTCGATCTGTGCTTTGTGCTTTAGGCGCATGCAAGGAGAGCAGGATCTCTGCATTTCTCTCCCTGATTGGTGAACAGCGGCGCTCAGAGTCCTAACCAATTACTGCACAATTTTGGACTCCCGGAAAGGATTTTTGATTTTTATACCTCAAAGAGCTCCACCTACTGTTCTTCAAGTGCGAACGGAGACGGAGCCCACTAAACCAAGAGTATTCTTTTTAGTAGAAACTTCACGAGCTTTTTATTTCCTAATTTTTTTTCAGACAGAACCCTTTCTTGAGATTATTTTCTGTAGATGTCCGTGTTTTGCGATACTGTTTTCCTAAACAGTAATTTAAAAGCCCTTGTTTAAATTACGCAGATATTATGAAAGAGCAATCTCTAGGAACTTCTTGTTTTGAGACTTTACATTGTAAAATAATTTAAACTTTTGGCTTCAGCTATAATTTGAGGCAACATTTTTCAATAGATTTTTTGAACTTATCTAAATGGAAGACTACTTCAATAGATTGACATGTAGCACTTTTTTAAAAAATCAAATTTTCACGATAAAATGGAAATCATAAAATGAGAAATGTGATCAGAATCATACCTTGCAAGAAGTCAAATGAAGAAGACATATTAACAGGTTTTCAACAAAATGGAAGCATTCCAATGTGCATTTACTGGATAATGGTAGTTCTATGATTCTACTCAAACATTGTGTTTCAAAAGAATGTTTAGTGTTGGGAAAGCCTTAGTAAAAGAAAATCAACAATACAAAGAATATGATAAATTTACCTTTTCCTGGGTAACTGACCTAATTCCAATTACTGAGAATTACTAGTAATATATTTGGAAGTACACCAAAATACAGAAAACAAATTCTCCCTAAGATATAAATAACTATTGTACTTTCATGAATATAAATATTTATATTCGTGGAAAAGCACTTTTTTGTGCAGGGAGAGTGCTGCACATTGAACCTGGGGCCTTTTAAAGCTAAGTATGTGTTCTATAACAGCTATGCCTCTGACAGTCATACAATAAAAGTAATAACTACAAAATTTGGAAGAAATTTACACATAGCTTTGAAAACAAGCATAAAATTAACTACTTAGTGAGACTCCAAGAAACTCTAACATGCCTGAATACTACCAAATTATTACTATGCCTTTCAAAAATATTTTCTTATGCATTTTCTCTCAGTTTAGTTAATAAAGAATAAAACTTATATACACAAGATGTTGAACCCCCAAGAAATATCCACAAAAAGAAAAATTATAGTTCAATGAAAAATATTTGGCAGCCCCATCATAATATACAGTTCTCACTGGAGTTCATTTTGTTTTTTGGCATGTATGGTGATAAAATATTTCAAAATACGTGGAAGTTAAGAGTGCAGTTACTGGCCCACAAAGAGAGGGCTGGAAAATATCGAGAGTGGATAGTCAAACTCAAAGCAACAGCAGATATCATCTGCTTAAGATTTTCTTGCAAAAATATTGGCTTTGAAAATTAAACCAAACCATTTTCAAATGAAAGACTCATTGAAACTCACGTGAGTAGAAGCAACAGAGTCAGGGTTTATCTTCTCCGTGAAGCTTACTGCCAAAGAAGCTTCGTTAGAAAGATCTTGTGGGGCGACCAGTTCCGGCATCATGGTGAGAAGATCAAGCCTTGTTTTATGAGAGTCAGATGCAACGTATAGATTGTAGGAATAAGGCAAAGTTCCCTCGCTGTAGTTAAGAGAAACCCCTGGTCTGGTCTTAGAACAGAGATCAGATTGAAAGCAGCCCCAGGAAGTGGGACTGGAAGAGTGTCGCAGGCGAAGAGCGATGGTCAAAATCACAGCGAGAAGGAAGAGCACTGAAACCAATGCTAAGGCCACCACCAGATAAAACTGCAGTTCTCCTTGGGGGTCAGGGATCTCCGGAGGGTCGCTGATGTCTGGCAGCACCTCCTGTAGGCTATCTGCGAAAACCAGGA